TGCCGTTTTCCTTTTCCTTGAACATCCAAATAATGTTGATTTTCTGCACAGAATGCACAGGTGAAATTTTTTTTTTTTTAAACTTGAACTTTTAAAAATAAGGCAATGAAATATGTATAAGTCAAGTAAAAAGGCACCAAAAAACCCACCCATGAGCTCTCTTGTTCTACGGACAAAGTTAACTCATGTAGGTTGTACCAATTAAATCTGTATTCTGAGCACCAGCATATGGAATTTCGTATACTGGCGGGTGTTTGAACTTTTGAGAATGAGCTCAAATGGTTCTGAGCTTTAGAGAATGGGACTTGCCATTCATAGCGGACTGGTCAGAAAGGAAGTCTGCATGGACGAGGAGTATGGTAAGTAATCATCTCCACTGCCTGCATGCCCCCTAGCATTATTAAACCATTGAAGGGGGGCGGGGGCTCTCAGAGAGCCAAGATATAGTTTTTAGTAAGCAGACTAAGGTTCACCATCACATAGTGCAATCTAATAAATTTCTGTGATTTATTTTGCTATTGGTTAGTGCACTTTGCACATCACATTTGCATGTGTCTTTGCCTTATTAAGTAAGCCAGCTACTTTTTAACACCTTTTTATTATTGACCTATCTGATAACACATCACCTGTCTCACTCATTCCAGGAAAAATGTGCACTTCTTCTATTCTTCACATGAGTTGTATAGAATATCCTGTCCAATTATCCGGTACACTTTCCTGCACACTCTGCTGCCTAACTTGTCTCTCAGCGATGACCGTTGTTATTAGTGATGAATTATCTTGTGACATTTTTCAAGAGTTTCACGCTCTCTGGGGACAATACTTTTACTTGTCAGAAAATAGCTCTCCTATATGTATCAGTAATTATTTTAATGAGGTCTTAATTATATAACAACATAGATCTCTACTCTAGACAGAAATAAGAGCAGAATACATCGTAATTGCCGTTAATATTGTGATTTGGTTTTTATTGATGCATTTTATTTATCTGGAAACACATATAACAGAAAGAATACCAGCCATTAAAGTGACCCTGTTGCTAAAATAGATAATATAGACCTACCTACAAAGAAAATGATCAAGACTCAGCTCTCCTGCTGCCCGAGCCTTCAATCTCTGCTGTAGTGAAGAGAAAATATAGGCTGAAGATCCTACAGAATCCAACACTCCTGGAAGTGTTGGATACCTGGACCCCTAGTGCACTTAGTGGTTCACTCTGTCGACCCCTAATTCACAGCTGTGTTCTGAAGTGACTTAGGGTCCAATGGGAGGAACCAAAACGCAATGCTGGGGACTAGGAAATCAACACTCCAGGAAGTGGGTTTTTTTTTTTCATATCTCTATAGTTTGAACTTGATGGACATGTCTTTTTTCAACCTAACTATGTTTCGACAGATCCTTCAGCTAGTGTTTCCTCTTTAATACTGCAGAGATCAGCAGCACAGGCAACCGGAAAGGAGATCTCTCAAAGGGTAACACAAACTGCAAAGAGTGGGGAAGTTATAGAACAGTGTGTCAGGTTTTTACTATTATCACTACTATGTCACTCCGAGAAATCCCCTAATGAAGTCTGGTTGGAAACTGACACTTCCGGGAGTCTCCTTGGTCTTCTGCAGTGTTTACTGTTTCCCCTTGTCAAACCCTCTGCATGATAATTGTATCGTATAGTCCAGGAGAAACCACTGGGTTCTGCAGGGGGACCATGGAGATCAAGGCTCTAGGAAGAGTTTTCAAGTGGACTTCAGCAGAAGATTTCCATTAACCCCTTCATGACTGAGGCCTTTTTTTCCATTTTTTGCACCCATGTTATATTCCACATTTTAGGCCTGAAAATTACTTAAAACCCCCACACATTATATATTTTCTGAATGCCAAGACCCTATACAATATAATGGTGGTAGTTGCAAATTTTTATGTTGCGCAATATTAGCACAACTCCTTATTAAACCCCAAAATTTAGTGATACATTTAATTAAATGCCCCAAAACACAACAAAATACCAATTTTGTAAATGAAATATAAAAGATGAGGTTACAACGAGTAAAACAATACCCAACATGCCCAGTTTACAAATTGCGTGCATCCGTGAAACGGCGAAAAACTGCAGTACCCCAAAAAGTCCACAGAAGACGCTTTAAAAGCCCCCACAGGTCATCAATTTAGAGATAGCCCAAAATACTGGCCCTAGAATTATTGCACTCACTCCGGCGTGCGCGGCGATACCCAACACCCGCGTGCTCGCGGGGGCGGGGGACTTTTAAACATTTTGTATTATTATTATTAGATTTATTTGATTTGATTTTAATTTTAAAAACTGTTTTTGTTTTTTTTTGTACTTTACTTTTCTCACACTCACTGTCTTGATAGGAAATGAGAGAACATCTTCTCAGTAGAGACATAGACAGTACTAAAACCTGACAGATTCTCTAACCAAGTGGTTGTCAACTTACAATGTCCAGGAGGTCTCAGCTATGGCCCTTGACATCACCAAAGGACCGCACATAATGTTCAACATATGTAATTCTAGACTGGACTTCAGATATACTAGAGAAATGGATGGTCAGAGATTGTGGACCTGTCACATGTTCGGTTGGAATCTGGAGACATGCTGTAGAAGACTGTATAGGACTGGGACATTTTACAATGAGGCGAGTTGTGATCACTGCCAATCACTGTAGTAACGAGCGGGTCTTTCTTGCCCGTGCACGCGCACTAGGGGGCGCGCGCGAGCAGGAAAAAAATGCCGTCTGGCGACGGCAACCCGCTGATGCGAGTCCGCCGTCCGTCCGTTTTTTTTTAACGTGCGGACGGCAAGAGGTTAAAAGGTTTTGGCTGGAGCTGGGTTTTAAAGTTGGGTAATTTTCTCAGGTATGCAACCGTGTTGATTACCCTTACTTCCATATACCAGGGATTCCACAAAGCCATATTATTTCATTACACAAGTGTGCAGTAATTGTTCAGGTCACATGACAATCCATGCCCACGTCTCTGAGCTCTGTATGAACAGGGAAAGATTATAACCAATGGACAAACACCATAACTTAATTTATTTGATCCTTGTATGAGGGAAATGAAGCTAAATCGAATTGTCATGCCAGACATCATGGTGATGAGAATGAATTAATGTGCTGCCGCATTTATTATTAATCATTGCTGTTATAAGCTTCTGCTCTCCCTAGGACTTACTTTGGACGAAGGTTCATAAATATTAAACACGTTCTTGATCACTCCTGAGTCACCAGTGTGAGAGAAAACA